CCTATTATGGTCCAATATCCAAAATCTAAATACATGGTTAGATTCAGCATATCAAAGAACCCCAAAAATTCAATTTTTGATGAAATCAAACAAAGTTTAATTTTGGACCCTTTTGACCTCAATGTGGACAAAGTTGATAACGGGGCCCAAAAATCAAAAATCTAAATACATGGTTAGATTCAGCATATCAAAGAACCCCATATATTTAATTTTTGTTGAAATCAAACAAAGTTTAATTTTGGACCCAGATTTGGACCAACTTGAAAACTGGGCCCATAATCAAAAATCTAAATACATGTTTAGATTCAGCATATCAAAGAACCCTAAGAATTCAATTTTTGTTAAAATCAAACTAAGTTTAATTTTGGACCCTTTGGACCTTAATGTAGACCAATTTGAAAACGGAACCAAAAATTAAGAATCTAAATACACGGTTAGATTCGGCATATCAAAGAACCCCAATAATTCAATTTTTGATGAAATCAAACAAAGTTTAATTTTAGACCCTTTGGACCTCAATGTGGACCAATTTAAAAACGGGGCCCAAAATCCAAAAACTAAATACACGGTTAGATTCAGCATATTAAAGAACCCCAAGAATTCAAGAATAAAACCCCATTGAAATTGGTCAAGAAATAAGCAATTTATACGAAGTATCTTCTTTTGCACAATACTGTGCAATTAAATATTTCTTGCTATTGCGCAATACTGTACAATTGACAATTTCTTGCGATTGCGCAATATTGTGCTATTGGATATTTCTTGCTATTGCGCAATACTGTGCAATTGAAGATTTCTTGCTATTGCGCAATACTGTGCAATTGAAGATTTCTTGCTATTGTGCAATACTGTGCAATTGAAAATTTCTTGCTATTGCACAATACTTTTTATATAATAATTTACACATCCTGTTTGGTGTGTATCTCCTACTATATCATTATTATTTGCTTTTAAATATAAATCAGAAATAACAAACTTAAAATGGAAAATTTTAAAAGAAAAAAAAAGGAAAAAAAGAAAAAAAAAAGGAAAAAAAAAAAAATCCCCCCCCCAAATTTTTTGAACCCCCTTATGATTCATCACCTCCAAACTCAATCCCAGCCTTCTCTTTGTGGTATGGTACCTTGCAGTACAATTTCAGAGAGATCCATACACTTACACACAAGTTATTGTCTGGAAACTAGAAAAATTTGTTTTTTGGCCCCTTTTTGGCCCCAAATTCCTAAAATATTGAGGCAATTACCCCCATCATCAATCCCAGCCTTCCCTTGGTGGTATGGTACCTTGCAGTACAATTTCAGAGAGATCCATACACTTACACACAAGTTATTGTCCTGAAACTAGAAAAATGCTTGTTTTTTGCCCCTTTTTGGCCACTAATTCCTAAAATTTTTGGCAATTACCCCCATCATCAATTCCAGCTTTCCCTTTGTGGTATGGTACCTTGCAGTACAATTTCAGAGAGATCCATACACTTGAACACAAGTTATTGTCTGGAAACTAGAAAAATGCTTATTTTTGGCCCCTTTTTGGCCCCCAATTCCTAAACGTTTCGGCAATTACCCCCAAACTCAATTCCAGCTTTCCCTTTGTGATATGGAACCTTGTAGTACATTTTCAGAAAGATCCATACACTTACACACAAGTTATTGTCATGAAACTAGAAAAATGCTTGTTTTTTGCCCCTTTTTTGGCCCCTAATTCCTAAAATTTTGAGGCAATTACCTCCAAAATCAATCCCAGCATTCCTTTTGTGATATGGAACCTTGTGGTACAATGTCAGAGAGATCCATACACAAACACACAAGTTATGTCTGGAAGTTACAAAAATGCTTTTTTTTGGCCCCTTTTCGGCCCCTTATTCCTTTACTGTTGGTACCATAACCCCCAAAATCAATCCCAACCTTCCTTTTGTGGCATTGAACCTTGTGGTAAAATTTCATAGAGATCTATGCACTTAAACTAAAGTTAGAGTGCGAAAACCAATGTGTCTTCGGACGAAGCCGGACGACGCCAGACGACGACGACGACGCCAACGTCATACCAATATACGACCACAAAAATTTTTTTGCGGTCGTATAAAAATCAAAAGTGAGCTTACAACATTAGATATAAACAATTTACCAAAGTTTCATTAAAAATGCTGAAAGCACGGAAGGCATTTTTGAGTTCTTGTCCGAAAACTGGAAAATCCCCTTTTTGTAATGAATAAAACCCCATAAATAGTGAACTTATAGTCTAAAATTTATTGAAATCAAAAGGGAGCTCATGTCGATAGAAATAAACAATTTACCAAAGTTTCTTGCAAATTGGTGAAATTGTTTTTGAGTTATTGTCCGAAAACAGGAAAATCCCCCACCCCCCTTTTTCTTAATGAATAAAACCACAAAACTCGGAAACGGTAAATTTGAAATTTAAAAAAAAACTAAAGTGAGCTCACGTCAATAAATATAAACAATTCACCAAAGTTTCATGCATATTGGTTAAAGTGTTTTTGAGTTAATGTCCGAAAACTGGAAAATTCCACTTTTTAAATGAAAAAAAACCCAATAATAGGAAACTAAAAATCTTAAATTTATAAAAAATGAAAGGGAGCTCAGGTCAATAGATATAAACATTTCCTTAAAGTTTCATGCGAATTGGTTAAAGCGTTTTTGAGTTATTGTCCGACATGTTGACGACAGACGGACGGACAGATGGACAACGGTAAACCATAATACGTCCTGTAAACGGACGTATAAAAAACAACTATTCTTCATCAGATAAATCTTTAACAGAAAAGTTTAACTCCAAATTGTCAAAAAAATTGTTTCTTAGTTCTCTATTTAATTTACAATCTAATATAAAATGTTTTTCCTTTTCTAATGTGTTACATTTAAGGCATAATCTCTGCTCTCTAGGAATATTAGAATGTCTGCCTTTTTCTATATTTAAATTATGGTAACTAATTCTTAGTTTTGTTTTTAATTATATATATATATATAGTATTATCACAAGTATTTCTATTTCAACTCCCTCAGGCAAAGTTCGCCTTAGATGAATTTGGCTATTTTTTTATGTATTTTTGTCATATAGCTCTTCAACTGTTTTGGTACTTATACATCCTCGGATTTCAAATGTTTGGCTTTGAGCGTTCCTGATGAAGGTCAATCCAGAAAAGCGCTTCGGACGCATGACATTGTTAAATGTGTTGTTTTTAATTTTTTTTTGAACTTGGTCTGTAACTTGTCATAAAACTATATACCAATCAATAAATCAATACCTTCAAGCACAAAGAAAAATAAATGGGACACAGAATGAGATGATGCTCCCGCTTGGATATCATATAAAGGGACAAAATGAAGAACGGTAAAAGTGATGCTACCCAAATTTATTACCGATCTGAGTTTTGTAGTGATAAACATTGTGTATATATAGGTTTAATAATATTTGGTTGATTTAAACTTAAGTTAGAAAGTGGAAACAAAAAATTCAGCATTTTTTTCCACTAGTGTTTCCTAAAGCTTTAGAAAAGGGCAGGGTAATGTTTTTCTCAGAGGGCACTGTTAGCGTGATTGGCTACATTTAAAGGGCACCCTTTGGACGGAGGACTACACTTTTAGGGCACTCTTAGCATAGATATAAAGGCACTGTAATGGACAGGGATTAAATTGAATATACCATTGTTTCATACTTATCTTGCTTATTGGTAAGAAATGAAGATATGTATATTACTATTAGGTTGTTAATTTAATTCCTTTTAGTAATAAAATTATCACTTCTATACTCAGCTAATAGAATCTTGATCATGTTCATAAAAAATTTGTGCAACTGCCTCATTCCAATCAATTAATCCAGTTATTAAGTTTAACATGTTTAATACTGGACCACTGAGTTTGGTTGTGTAAGGATGTGTTGTGAAAGTGGACTTTGCATGACCAAGAGCATATGCAATGCATCCACCATAAAATTGAGAATGGAAATGGGGAATGTGTCAAAGAGACAACAACCCACCATGTCCACCAAAATTTAGTCTTCGTCTGTATTTTGTGGTAATCATCAGTCAGGGGACTTACTTAAATGAATGATTTCTAAATCACTGATTCAAGTAACATTTTGTCCACAAATGTTGGAAGTAAGTGTTGTCTTTCTTTAATAATCACCTATTTAATTCAAGTAGTACAAATAAATTACTAGACTAAGTGATTTAATTTTATTGTAGCTTTAAATATACAATACTAATGATCCAGGGACTAATTATGTTGCTAAAATTATCAGAACCAACATCTGTGTTGATACATATAGGATGACCGGTCATGTCAGGTGATGACCTTGTACTGAATCTGGGATAATGACATGAAAATCACTTGTTTAAGTATCATACCTCTATTTACTTTAAAAAAATCACTTCTTTAAGTTTTATTATTTTAGGTACCCCTACTAATTTCAACACCCCCGAACAGTGAAATTTTGATCCGGAAAAGTAAAATTTTATTACATAATCTGTAAGATAAAACCTAGAATTTTACAGTAAAAATACTCCCACTGCTTGAAAAAATCTGTTAAGAAAGTATCAGTTCATTATGTAAAGCCTTCATTATAGCATTTTTTCAACAAATATAGAATTTACAGCTAAATGGTTGTATCAAAGGCATAAACCTTTAAAAGAAGAAAAAGGTTCATTTTTTTCAATTTTACTAATAATAAGATGTAATCTAAACCTATATGTTTAAAATTTTGGTAAAACTACAAAATCACAATTTGTGATAAAATTTCGAATTTGCTATTTAAATAAGTGATTTTATAAATCACTTATTTCAGTAATTCCCCTGACTGATCATGGTAATAAGCATTAATGTATAAGTTTCATAACATTTGGTTGAGGCAAACTAAAGTGGGGGAACTTCATGAAACCTTTGGGACATACGGAAGGACAAGGGTAAAACTTAATGGGAACTAATGAAAGCAGTCTCGTTTTAACCAATTAGTTTTTGATAGACTATTTGTGAATAAATACATACTAAGTGTCTTTGACGTCTCTTATGTAGCTTGTTTTCCAAATTTCTTTGACTCCTTGATTTTCTCTTCATTTTAGGCATTTTGTTTCAATCACCAATGTTGCATACCTTACAGAAAAAAATCAAAAAATCTTAAAGTTATATACAAAACAGTCATGACTGTGTGAACAAATATACCTTGTACAATACTTATGTTAAATTAATGTTTGATGAAAGCAGCAAAAAGTTTAATTTAGGACTGTTCAGACTGTTAAGAAATTGAAAACAGGGCACAAAATTATCAGACCAACTTGATTTTTTCATGATAAAATAATGAACCAATTTGAATTACTAAATCAATATCTTCAAAATGATGAAAAAAATAGTGGAAAACTGAATATTTGAGCGAATTTTCGAAGTCCAAGAATCATAACTATGCATAAAATTATCAGACCGGAACAAAATTAAAACTTGATCTGTAACTTGTCATGACAAAACAACATACCTAACATCAAATCAGCTATCTTAAGCATGAAAAAAAAGTGTGGAAAACTGATTTGCCGGACTGAAGGATTGACAGACAGGCAGACAGAGTTCAAACCTAAAGGTCCCCTTCCATATTGTCGGTAGGAGACTAAAAACTTTACTTATACAGTCCTACAGAGCTCAAAATCATCACTTAGAAAACACACAAAATTTTCAAATAAACCTGTCACTCAAATCATTATATACATGATATACATGTACATTTTGTAATTGTGTTATAAATAATTACTTAATACATCTTAAAATCTTGATCAGTTAGGGGACTTACTTAAATGATCTTAAATGAATGATTTCTAAATCACTGATTTAAGTAACATTTGTCTGCAAATGTTGGAAGTAAGAGTTGTCTTTCTTTAATAATCACCTAAATGTGGTCCGAGTACACAGTTATTTCTTAGTGCATTTCTTTTAGACAATAAAAGAAAATAAACAAGCAATCAGAGAGTATTGCATAGCAATACATAGTCCCCTACCAGGTAAAGATTCATCATACTGGAACAGGCTAACTTGTTCTATAACTTGTCATGGTGTAAACAAAAAGCAAAATATCAGGTCAATATCTTCAAGCATGAATAATAAACTGCTTCGCTGAGCGCAGCTGGATACGCCCGCAGAGGTCCAACCCTGAGCAGTTGGGGCAAAAATGGACACAATATTCAAGCTTGATACAGGTCTGAATTTGGATTGTAATTTTAAAAATACTTTTGACATATTATAAGTTTCTGAATAAATGTAGTCAAACAACTAGAAATTGGTTATATGAATTGAATTTATATTCAATTAAAGATTTCTTGGTGTTGTGCAATACACTATGCTGTTGTGCAATACTTAGTAAATCTGTTGTCAGACTATAAACAAATAAGATTTATAAAATTCTAAAGGGAGCTTATATCAATAGATATAAACAATTCACCAAAGTTTCATAAGAATTGCTGAAAGCATTTTTGAGTTATTGTCTGAAAACTGGAAAATCACCCCTTTTTAATGAATAAAACCCAATAACTCAGAAATGTAAAATCTAAAGTTTATAAAATATTAAAGGGAGCTTACATCAATAGATATCAACAATTCATCAAAGTTTCATGAGAACTGCTGAAAGCATTTTTGATTTATTGTCCAAAAAAATCCCCCTTTTTTTATGAATAAAACCCTGTAACTTGGAAACGTAATATCTAAAATTCATAAAAATCAAAAGGGAGCTCATGTCAATAGATATAAACAATTAACCAAAATTTCTTGCAAGTTGGTGAAAGCATTCTTGAGTTATTGTCGGAAAACTGGAAAATCCTCCTTTTTTTAATGAATAAAACCCCACAAATCGGAAACTTAAAATCTAAAATTTATAAAAAACGAAAGGGAGCTCACGCCAATAGATATAAACAATTCACCAAAGTTTCATGCAAATTGGTCAAAGGGTTTTTGAGTTAATGTCCGACATGTTGACGACGGACGGACAGACGGACAACGGCATACCATAATACGTCCCATAAATGGGAGTATAAAAAATTGACAAGTCACACTGTCCACACTATGGACTATATTCTCGGACAACGAAAATCAAAGGACGATAACTGTGTACTCGGACCATGTATTTATTAAGAAGTACAAATAAATCACTAGACTTAGTGATTTAACTCTATTGTAGATTTAAATATACAATACTAATGATCCAGGCACCAAATATGTTGCTAAAATTATCAGGAGCCAACATCTGTGTTAATATTAGGATGACCAGTCATGTCAGGTGATGACCTAAATTGTACTGAATCTGGGTTAATGACATGTGAAAATCACTTGTTTAATGATCATACCTGTATTTACTTAAAAAAATCACTCCTTTAAGTATTATTATATCAATTACCCGGCCCCACAAATTTCAATACCCAAAAACGCTGAAATTTAGTTCGGGAACAGTAAAATTTTATTACATAATCTGTAACATGTGTAAGGTGAAAACTTGAATTTTACAGGAAAATCCCCCCACTCACAGTTGGGATAAATCTGTTAAGAAAGCATCAGTTCATTATGTAAAGCCTTCATTATACATTTGAAGCATGTTTTTCAACAAATATAGAATTTACAGCTAAATGAATTCATCAAAGGCATAAACCTTGTTACTTAAAACATGTAAAAGAAGCAACAGCTAGGTTAATTGTTTCTCAATTTTACTAATAATAAGATATATAATCTAAACCTATATGTTGAAAATTTTGGTAAAACCACGAAATCACAATTTGTGACAAAATTTGCTACTTAAATAAGTGACTTTATGAATCAATATTTTATTTGAACCCCATTGAAATTGCTAAAAAAAGAAACAGTTTCGTCATTTGGTTGAGGCAAGCTTAAGTTAGAAAACAGAAACTGCAAATTCAGCAATTTTTCTATTTGTAAAGGTGCATAACTCTAGAATGGTAAAAGTAATGCCACCAAAATTGGAACCTGATCTGTATTGTGTAGTAATAAGCATTGTGAATTTGTTTCATAACATTTGGTTGAGGCAAATTAAAGTTAGAGAATGAAAACTAAAAAATCAGCAATTTTTCCATTTGTAAAGGGGCATAACTCTAGAACAGTACAAATGACGCCACCAAAGTTCAAACTTGGTCTGTGTTTTGTGATAATCATGATAATAAGCATTGTGTATAAGTTTCATAACATTTGGTTGAGGCAAACTATAAAAGTTAGAGAATGGAATTGAAAAATTCAGCAATTTTTCAATTTGTAAAGGGCATAACTCTAGAACTGTAAATTTGACGCCACCAAAGTTCAAACTTGATCTGTATTTTGTGGTAATAAGCATTGTGTGTTTGTTTCATAACATTTGGTTGAGGCAAACTAAAGTTAGAGAAGGGAAATCAGTTTTGGGACGTACAGACGTACCTTTGTACAATGTACGTACAGATGGACAAGGGTAAAACTTAATGCCGCCTTAATGATACGGTGGGGCATAAAAAAATCGTTTTACAAAACTCATAACTAAAAGCAAGTAAACAGAAACAATCATTGATAAACTAAAACAAGCAATCTGTGAGTATTGCATGGCAATACATAGTCCCCCACCGGTTAAAAATAAATAGTAATGGAACGAAATTCTAACTTGATCTATAACTTTTAATGGTGTAAAGTTGTAAACTACATAAAATAACAAACAAACTTACCTCTAAATTTTTCAAACAAATTACTAAATTTAAACAATTTACTAAAGAAAAGGAAAAAAATCCAAAATGTCATTTATCTTAATACAATGTCTTTTACAAAAATCTTTTAAAAATGAGTTACTTCCCTTTGAACAGAAATCTAGTAATTAATAAGTATTTCATCAAGAGCCTGAATCGCTCACCTGTTATTTTTTGCTTCAATCTTTCATCAATGATTATTTTTGCTTTTCAATATATATTAATGAGTAGATCGAGTGGCTTAACATGCCATTTAAATGTTCTTTGTATCTGTCATATATACCTCAAAAGCAAATAAATGCATTTTACCCATACACTGTATGATCCATTTTAGCCCTAGTGGCTATGTTTCTTGACGTACAAGGAAAAAAAATACAAAATCATGCTAGATTCATTTGAAGAGATTTTTTCAAGTTAGAAATCATAAACAAATTGTGTAAAATTGTCCTTAAAGGGCAATAACTCCATAAAGGGTCAATTGACAATTTTGGTCAGGTTGACTTATTTGTTGATCTTACTTTCATGACTTTGCTGAACAATTTTGCTGTTTACAGTTTATCTTTATCTATTATAATATTCAATATAATAACAGTTGATTCACCGATGAACAGCTTCGCCATGAGCGCATGATATGCCCATCGTCTTGTGTGTGAAGTTTTATGCAATAATCATCAATAGTTTTGAGAAACCCCCCGCCCCCTTTTTCAAAAAAACACTCAATAACTCTAAAATGAAATTTTGAATCATCACCAAAAAGTATACAGATCTTTAGATTAATATAACTAAGGAGTGTGTAAAGTTTTAAGCAAAAATCATAAATCGTTTTTGAGATGTGGCACGACATGTGAACCCCCCCCCCTTTTTTTTTTTACAAAAAACTCAACAACTCTAAAATAAAATTTTAAATCATCATCAAAAAGTATACAGATCTTTAGATTAATATAACTAAGAAGTGTGTAAAGTTTTAAGCAATAATCATAAATTGTTTTTGAGATATTGTGCAACATGTGAAAAAAACACACCCCTGTTTTAGTTACAAAGTCCCATAACTCAAACTCTTATTTTCACCAAAAACTATACAGATGGTTTGACCATCATGAGAAACAACTATGTTTAGTTTCATGAAATTTGGATAAGTTGTTCTCAAGTTACAGTGCAACATGTTTATGCTGGACAGACGGACAGCGGACATTTACATACCATAATACGTACGTCCCGTCAAAATTTTGACGGGCGTATAAAAACTGCAAAATTTCCTTAAAATTACCAATTTAGGGACAGCAACCCAACAACGGGTTGTCTGAAGTGTCTGAAAATTTCAAGACAGAGAGATCTTGACCTGATGAACATTTCTACCGCATGTCAGATTTGCTCTAAATGCTTTTGTTATTGAGATATAAGCCA